TGACGAAGTGTAAGCATAGGATTATAGTTGATGCAACCCTTTCATCCAATGAGAGAGGGGTTAGAAAACTCCTCGTGGCTCGTAATGATCTCAGAGATATTCATCTCAGGGTTATGCCATTTTATATCATGATGAGTGAGACTCATGATTCTTTGATAAAATGAGTAAGTGTCTCGAGCGTCTACAAACGGTCCACCTACGGGTAGGTGAGACATGAACCACTTATTTAGTAATGGAAAACAACAAACAATTGTTGCTCTCGTTCCATGCTTGGAGTGAATGGAGTGGTAAGTATCAATAAGAAGAGTCGACACAAGTTTTTTATCCATGAAGAGATAAACAACAGTGCAATCTACTAAGTTCATGACATTTGGGAACATAATTATCCCCTAAATCAAGATAGACACTAAAATATTGAAGGCCAACCAGTTTCTTTCACTCGCAAACTCTTTAACTTTCATTGTCAGAAATCTGGAAGAAAAAGCCAAAGACGCCACTTTTGGGCTTCCAATTCCCTTTCACATCGTTCAGGCTCAAATAAAGAGCCTCAGTGATAGCTTCAAGATTAAACACCTCTGGAACATTGATGAAAGGCACCCGATTTTGAACTTTGATGTTAAGAATGAAGGCATACTCCTCTAGGGTAGGAAGAAGCTGATAGTTCTGGAAAGTGAAGTATCTCAACTTTGGGTCATAAAATTGTAGAAGAGTGGGTAGAGCCCATGGCTCATTGGTAGAATTCAAGAGAGACAAGATATTTCCATAGTCTTGAGTGAATCTTCTCGAAATGTGCTTGAAAACTTGAGCTCCTAAATCTCTTAATGGTGTCAAATCCACATGGAAGAAACTATAGGAAAAGATGTGTCTGGTAGCCATCTTTGATGAAGATACTAACTCTGGAATGTCCCTGGAAAATGATAATGCATATGCTAGTTAACATTTTTTGTACATCATGATATTTTGAAAAGTAAATATGCTATGATGCAACATGATAGGATAAAGGCTTCTAAAACAATTGGATGATATTGTGTTATTGTATGAACCAACTGAGTATCACATGATCAAAGGTCTGGCATAGCTTCGGAACATACATATAAGTCACCAACAATAGTTACCAACAGAACCAAAGTCACCAAATGTACCTGTAAGAAATCATCCCTCCCACTCATGGGGGAAGACTAGGTCAAGATAAGGCAAGGGTGACTAAGAATCATGGGTCCTCTTGAAAGTAAAATCGTCGCAACACAGACGTGTATGATGAAAATACCCCATTTGTACCACAACTGAGCATGGTACACATAACTGCACTAGTAGGACCTCGTTCAGTAGCCGTCATGTCCCCACTTTATTCCTAGGTTTCATATGAGTTTACAACTCTGGCCTGGGTACTGGGCCTTTTACATCAAAAAGTACCATCCCAACCCTACATAAACAGTAACAACAATATCCAGAATATAGGAGACAATAGAATAAAGTGAAATGCATGAAATAACATAATCAAAGAACATAAAATATATAAAGCTAGAAATAAATAAATAAATAAACACCCAATGGAAAAGAACACAAACACAAGCTAGGACTGAATTGCACAGGATGAACCAGCAATAGGTCAACCTTTCCCCAGTGAAGTCGCCAGCTGAAATAACTAGAAAAATCATCGAAGTGAACTCAATGAAGTCTCCATCAAACATTTTTTATCCCTTCGAAAGGGAAAGGTAAACATCGAGTAAACCTGAAGGGTGAAATCACGGTCTTGCGACCATAGAGATCGGGTAAGGAAGTCAGTTACGCGAGGATAAGGTATTAGCACCCCACACGTATGTGGTACTCCACAGGATCCACTTATGCTTGTTTTATTCTAAGGGTGTCTAAGAGTCTAAGTCTAAAGCTTAAGAACTAAAAAGAAAGATGCAAAGGGGGAATGCATGCAAAAGAGAAAACACGAGGAAAAGAAGGAAAGATTACAAAGTTTGCTCGACTGAGTTCCGTGACCAGATGCCTACGTATCCCTTTTAAGGAATCAGAGTGTCGTAGTTCGACTCAAAAGTTTCTGTTTATTGTGTTTTTTATGAATAATATTAATTTCTCCTTCTGCCGCAACTCGACCTTTGGAGACTCACGCGTCAACACATAAGTGAGTTAACATGTTCTTTTGAAAGTTTGAAAGAAGAGGCCCGAAGGTGAAAAGAGTTAGTATTGGTTGATATTTTTTACCTTGAAAAAGGATTTGAAAGTTGTTAGATGTTTTATACATTTACCAAGAAAAGAGGTTTTAGTCTTAATGCAAGAATGCAAAAGAAAGAAAACCATCTAAGAGAAACTAGCTATAATCCAATCCCTAATGTTATCATACAACGATTGATCCCAAGGTTGAGTTTTGAAAGAGAAATATCTACCCTATGTTAGCATGTATGAATTACAATCCTAATGTCTATCTCGAATCACCACCAAAGGATAAATCAAGAACTCTCAAGGGAACATAGCAAAGGTTTGCAACCTAAACCTATGTCTATCTCGAATCACCACTAAAGGGTGAATCAAGAGCTCTTAAGGGAACATGGCAAAGGTTCACAACCTAAGAAAACATGTACACAAGGATGGGAAGCAAGTAATCAACAAGCTCAAGAGAGCACACACATGTCATGAGTAGAACACGCTAACTTAAGTCAAAATGCCTAACCAAGATATCAAAACATCAAGGTACGATATGGGAAACTTTAGCCAATGGGTCATACCAACCGAGGAAAACAAGCTATCGATGGGAATAAAGCGTCTATACCATGGCATCGTACTACCAGGCAAGAAGAGTAAAGGGGGGAGTGAAAAAACACAGAGCGTCAACATCGCCCCGATGTGAGCTCAAAACAAAATGTGGGGGTTTGATTGGGAAACCCTTTTCCACTTGACGACTCGATAACAAGAGTAGGCACAACCCCGAAGTATCATGGTGCGTCACGAGCTAAGGATGACACAGACAAAGTGCATGGGTTGATTGTGAATCCTCTCTGCTTGCCTCCTTTTGAGGACTTATCAAGGGGGGATGAGAATGGGACGCCTCTTTGAGGTCTTCGGGCACAAATGTAAACACACAGCAGAATGCCTACTTCGAGGTAGGTCTTTAAACAATAAACAAACACAATTAGCAAACAAGTGCAGAATACCTTCTATAGAAATTTAAACAACGAATTCAAGCGCACACTTTTTATTATCCCACTTCTCATGATATATAGAAAGCGATAAAACATGCATCTTTATTCTTACTTCTCATGGTATCAGAAAGTAGTAAAATGCAGAAAGATATACCAGAATCAGTGTGATGCCAAACAGATATTAATCTGTAGCAAAGCGATCAAAATCTAAGAAACCTGAAATAGTTCGTGCAAGCTTCACCAAGCAACAGAGAAATAGTCAGAAAATCAGATATAAAAAATGAGCGTCAAAGCATCCATGTGAAAATAAATCACATGCATCCAAGTCGTCATGTAATAGTCCTGCACAAGATACAAAACTATACAATTCAAAAGTAATCTGTAAATATCACGGTGCGTGAAATCTCCATTGGAAGCTTGCACAAATCCATAAAACGAGTTAGCAAATAACAAGGAATCATTCAAAGATAAGAACCTACCATTAAAACACTCATCATGTCAAGGAAATTGGATTAAGGATACGGAATCGACAAGAACGCGTTGAAATCCTAATTCTAATCATGTACCAAACATTAATTCAATTAATTCTTAAGCTAATAGAAAAAATCGTGAAAAAAATATCACTAGGTCAAGGACTAACATATCACTATCTATACAAAACTCCATCCAAAAATCATGAAAGAATCATCAAAATTTAATTGCTAAAGATCAAGAACAAAAGTGAAAATTAAAGGCAAAACAAAGTGGTGTATGGACCAGACAAGAGGTGTAAACAATGACCGAAACGTGTAGGCCCAATGCAAGAAAGTAATTAGCATATTTCCTTTTAATTAATATTTTTATTTTCTGATTGTGGCTTCATAATTTTTTATTGGAATTAAATGGAATCAAATAAATAAATAACAACCAGAAACGTCTAAACGATGAGTTTTGGCAAAGGACAGGGTTTAGAATTTATGACCTTTCAACTTCTATGATACAGAGCTATTCTTCTTCTAACAAAATCAACAAGCCGCGAATGGCGGCATCCTCTCAAATGCCGCTGTCTCTGATTCCCCATCCATATGTGCTCGTCATTCTCCGATCGTAACCTACCTCCGTCTAACCTCTCTCACTCCGTGTTCGATCTCATCGCTCCGTCTCAACATGTTTTCGATTTGCAACGGTTCCGTCGTCTCATTCCTCTCTCCACCGTGACACCACCACCTCAACACCAGTCGGAGAATCGTCCGGTGCATCTTTGAGAAGATGACAATGAGAAGAAAATCGGAGAACTTCGACTGAGGCTCAGGTATGTGTTCCCTGCTTCTTCTTCTGATGTGCATTCCGATCTTCTTGCGTTCTCTTCTTGAGTTTTCGACTCTGATCCGTGATTTGGTGTTATTTGACACTGAAGCAGAAGGTTGAAGAGAGTTCTCTGAGTTTTTTGTGATTCTTCTCAATGATTGAAGAATGAAGATGAATTGAGGTATGAATCAGTTATATATTCTGTTATTGATTAGCAAAGTTTGTTAGAGAATGAAACAAATATGAGATGTCCTTTAAATTCTCTTGATTTAATATTTTTCTGATATTTTCTGTTATAACATGAGCTGGAATTTCTAAGTTCGTTTCTGATTTTTTTTCTTATTTGCGGCCTTTACTGATATGTGAACCTATTTGTTTCTTGGGCTGGACCTTGCGATTTCAGACTTTGTTGCTTGAGATGTGCACTTGTTATTATTTTTCTGATACCATTTTTTTTTGTTATGTTGGGCTTGAACTTACAACTCTGCTTCTTACCAGACTGTGATGCTTTGTTTCTTGTGAACATGATTCAAATTCCCTATATTTCTGGTTCCATACACAACCCTAATGATGAACTTTAAAAGAAACTTGCTGAAAATTTATTTGTTTATGTTCAAGTTTTGATTGTGTTCTAACGCTTTCTTGTTCTTGTTTCATGAACATAATGATTGAGCAAAAATGGACAAATCGCAAGGCTATGGCGAGCTTGAATATTGAAGAAGAATGAGTCTTAGAGGGAACTTTTTCCAAAGTGTTTGTAAAACAAGTTAAATCTTGAATGAAAAATTCGAATGAGTTTGGCAATACTTGAATATTTGAACTTAACATTTGCAATTGTCATTTGAACTTAAATTCTTGAACAAATGTGAGCTCGTTCTTTGCACTAAGTCAAAACCTCCCTTATATAGAATTAAATGAAGTTGCACTTGAATGCCTTGTGTGAAAACAATATGAAAATTGCATTCTAAAACCCCAAAGATCTTTACTTGAATTTGCATCATAATTTCACTACTTGAACTCAAAAGTGGAACCAACAAATAATCAAACATTCACTTGATCTTAGAAATCAGACAAAAATCCCTTCTAACAAAAATTCACATAGAAACTTCTCCTTAATCATTGAGCTTAAGAACGGTATATTTCCTTTGAAGAAACTTTGAAAAATATGAGAACAAAATTAAAGGAAAAAAATCTCTAAAGAACCTCATTTGATGATTGAGCGTGCACTGAGATAAAACTCAGGATGATAATGCTTTCAGAATTTTTATTAAGAAAGAAATCACATACTTCCCTAGCACAAGAACCAATAGATGGGAGAAAAACGTGATTCAAGAATAATAATTGAAATTCTCAATTCTTTGACGAAACAAAGAATCAACTTGAGATGTCATGAGGCATAAGAAGCCTTAGTAGCTTGAATGAATAGAAGAATGAGGGAGATGAGATCCATCTCACACCGATTGACAATACAACCATCTTCCACAACTTGAAGAAGACCATGAAGATAAGAATACATTGATCCTGTCTAAGTGCATGAATGCATATGATGAAACATAAGCCATATAAGGTAAAATGAAGAGGACAAATTTTGGGGTGCAACACCCAGCAGTCGACATACCCTCTCTGACAAATGACAGGGCTCGCTCGACCACAAAAGCATGTTGAAGTACGAACATAGCCTCCAACCAATAACGAAAGGCGGGTTTTTTCTCATTGGTCGAGTGGAACCTTAGCTCGACAGGGACACCTCGACCGAGCTCTACCGTCGAAGTACCCAATAGGCAGAACACCCAACTCGCGATGGGAAGTTTACGCCACAAAGTCAAAACCCTCACCGCGACCTTGACCTCGTCCATATGGACTCCTACTCCTCTTCCTCGACACATCCCAACATGTGCCGACCATAACTAAGGTCAAGCATAAATTTCCACTTGTCATATTTCCACACTGAAATAAGCATGTCAAGCACAAACGACAAGTAAACATCTAATATGCAATAAGCAAGCAAAATAAAGGCATTCAGAAAAGCTGACCACAAAGGCCGGTGTAGTCTAGATATTACAAATTCAAAGGTACGTATGCCCAAACAAAAGATAGGTCGGGCAAACCCCTTGACAAAATTTTACAAAATTACGGGCACGCGGGCCCAAACAAAACAACCAAATTATCAAGAAAACATCAATCACTCCTCAGAGTACCCTCTTCGGTCTCTTGCTCGGAAGATTCAGAAAGAGGGAATACTCTACCATCGACCACCTGAGATAAAACTCCAGCGCCTTCAGTATTGAGCCTCAGATTCAGCAAGGCCAATTGAGCCATCGTGGTCTCAAAGACACCGAACAATGCATCCACGCAGTCTCACTCAAGAACCTGGATTCGAGCATCCAGCTCTGCACGATTCTTAAAGAGGACGATTCCCTTGGGCTCATTTTTCGTGGGCAGCATGGCGACCTTCAAATCAGCGACCTAATTCTCCAGATTTTTTTTCTCGAGCAACAATGAGTCCCTCTCCTCAGAAGCTTTAGCCAATTTCTCCTTTTCTTTTGCTAGCTCGTCAGCCTGTGCCTGGAACTTTTCCTCGCCTCGCTCGAAAGCGGTCTTTAACTTCTATGCTTTTTTCCAGGAGAGCCACTTTCTCTGACTCCAGCTTGCTCACCATGGTAGAAGAACCAACCCTTCACCTGCGAGGACCACAACCATCTTCACGAGCTTCATTATACCAACCATGCTTGATGCCATATGTTTTCTTCTACCTTCCTCATCGATCCACCTGATGATGGCATATTCATCATTAGACACGACCAGGGGAAATACTTCGAAAAAAATCCTTCTCAACAAAGCAAGGAGGAAGGTTAAAGGCCCGAGCACCTAGTCCATCTTCTATCAAATCCACGGGCTCATTTTTTGGGCGACCCCTCTTCTTCCCCGACATGGTCGCAGGCTGAACGACATCAAGAGACCCTGGTGAAGCATTGGACCCATCCTTGACCCGCTCGAGAATAGGGCCAAGGTGCATAGGATGGTTAGGCTTCAATATTCTCTTGCTGTTCTTTTTATCTTGGGTCAGCTTCAGCAAATGCTCACGATGCTCGACCATTTTACCTGCAAAAACAAAAACAACATGCTTGAGTTAGTACCGCTAGAAAGACATGCCCGAAACAAATAAAAAACAAAAGGCAGTAGAGTCAGGCGGACAGAGACCCAAAAGAGTCACGACATCCCCGTAGGTACGACATTCAACAAGCATTTTGGTGTTGATCGGGCGAGCCTCGAATGTAGGTTCACCGTCTTCACCAGGAATGTCGTCTCCCTCCCTCGTCACCCATCTGGAGGGGAAGAAACCATCGATGAAATTGTTGAGAATACCGAAGGCCCCCTCATCCTCGACATCCATGCTACCAGCAGTAGTATGATAGTGGCCAGGCTCGTGGTCGTAATGAGCCCGACACTAATGGATAGAAAACTCGGAGAGCCTCCCGATATCTTCGTTCCCATCTTCTTCATAACAAACTTCCCCATCCCCGTCGATGACAGAAACTGGGTCGAACACCGCATCCAATGCCTCTTGGGATGAGGGTTGCACGATATACCATTTGTCCTTAAAGTCACAGACATAGTCCATATACATCCTGAACAGTATCTTGGATTGCTTGAAAGAAAACCAACTATGCTTTCCTCCCTTAGACTTCCGTTGAAGGTGGAAAACCCCGAAGAACAAAGGAATCGTCGCCCCAATCTTTAGATATCAGTAAGTGATCTCGAAAGCCCGTATAAAAGCGATCGCGTTGGGTTGTAGTTAGGAGGGCTCTAAGTACAAATGATTAAAGACTCCCATTTGAAAGTCATTAAAGGGCAGACGAAGCCCAAAATATCTGAAGACAATCTCATACATAAGGGATGCGATCTTCCTGGAAAGTTGAGTATATTCTGCCCGTATGGGTCGGGAAAAAGATCATGAAATTTCGTCTGAAACCTTCCTGGTCACTGTCATATTCGACGACCGTATACGCCTCCGTCTGAGTATTGCTAAAGACCGAGGTTATTCCTCGAGGCTCCGGCCCAACCCAAGACAATGACGGATCGGTGACGGTGTCGGCCAAATGGAGACCCTCTCCGACTTCACTCGTTTCCTCTATCTTAACCTGCTCGGCTGCCTCGACTAGTTCAACCATTTCACCTGTAAAGAAGAGGAAACCAGTGAATTCAACAGCTAAATCAAATCCATCCTTCCACCACAACACAAGTGAAAGAGGGTTGCTACAACCAAATCATGTCGACGAACCCTCGTTCAGCAAAAAGCAAACAAACTCATGAACGCCACAAGGAGAATATGAATCTCTCGAGCAACCTCATGAAGATGATGTGGGAGAGATGAATTTTCCGAGCAAACCCATGAGTGTCACGAGGGGGCATGAATCCCCCAATCCATTTCATGAGTTTTGCGGGGATCGAACGATTTTTACGAGAAAATTTGTGAGTTTCACGAGGAGAGGTATAAATATCCCGAGGAAAATTCCCTCAGACGTTGAAATTCATTAGGAAATCCATGAATCCTACGGGGAAACCCCTCCAGAAATTTCCATAAAATAAAATAAACAATCACAGAAAAACACTTACTTGGTTGACATTGATATGGGAGTTGAGGCGGGAAGCGCGATGGTGCTCACGACAGAGAGGAAGACTAACGACAGTGTGGAGAAAAGAGAGAATGCGATCTTGGAAAAGTTTCAAATGAGCCCTTGGGCTCTATTTACAAAAGTTGCGCGGAAGACTAATCATCGCATCGAGTAACATATCGCATATTCAATTCTCTGTCGCCCACGCATCTAGAGCCATGATGACCCCTACTCCATAGGTCATCATTCTACCCTAGAAGCTATGCTACGTGGCCCACTAAGTTACTCTCCTACAAAGGTTTGGCTCCCTGTGAGTCGAGGAATATGTCAGCTGCCCCCACCAACATGTTTCGACTTCTATCCGAACAGCTACCATACATGGACGACTCCATCCCTTGAAGGAATAAAGATCCTCGACGAAGCTATCCCTGGTGGGTCGGCGAGTTGGTCTTAAGTTATAGCTCCTCCCCTTAGGAGCATCGACTTGGGGGCTCCTGTTTTGGATTGGGCCTGCACTTGGCCCAAACAACATACAAGGATCAATCCAACCATGCTGAAGGTGAAGACCAGCAAGAACGAGGCTGCCCTTGACTATTCCGGGCAACGAATCCACCCTTACACCGAAGACATTCCCCTTAGGCCTTCCTCGCCATAGGTTTATCGAGGAGTGTTAACGACTCCCAGAAGGTCTTGACGAATACCCTCCTCGGAGGGAAGACCCCTACATCTCCGAATATCCCGGGGTCATCTTGACCCCAAAAATACCACAACCACGTCCTCCTATTAATTCAGAGTAGTTCACTCAGGAGGGAGACCACATGCTCGTCCCTACTACTCACGTAGATCCTGACAGTCTTCATTTTGGGTCTTCCCTGTCAGCCCAATATGGGGACCTTGGCCTAACGCTTGGACTATAAATACCCTCTCACTTGAGAGGATCAAATATTCATTCATTCTACCTCACCTACTTTACTTGCTCTCGCTCTGAATCCCACATTTAACCGTTGCTCAAGTTGAAGCTCGTGGGCCTTGACGATCTCTTCTAATCAGGTACGATCAAATGTTATGAGAGAGATTTGGAAAAATGATTTATATATGTGTTGGAGATAATACACAAAAATGATAAATACTCATATTGATTTGAGTCAAGAGCAAATGGTACGAGTTGAGTCAAGAGAGTGAACGATTTGAATCATGAATGAAAAACAAAGA